CTGATTATTTATTTTACACAAGATCCATTTCAGAAAGAAGGCGGGGGGGGGGGGGAAGACTTGTTCAAACTTCTTAGCTGGAAGTATCAAAGATATAATTTAAAGCTTACATAAATTTAAACCAGTTAAATAAGGAAATGGCAGGCAGTCTCTAGTTATGAGAATCCAATTGATAGACAGTTCCTAACTGCCCTTTAATATTATATAAATTTGTTCTTACTTTGAAAAGATTGACAACAAAATTTACTTGCAAAAAAAAATCTTCATCACAATCACCTTCACCTGCTGCATGAACTGCCTTTAAATGCTTGAAAAGGCTTTTAACCTTTCTTACACTAAAGTAAGAGTAAGAGCCATTAAGAAGGCCTGGTGGTGTAATACAGGGTGGATTATGAGTTGAACTGCAAACTTAAAGGTCTGTGGTTCAAATCCACCAGCCACTCCTTGAGACACAAACATCCTCCTTCCATAAAGATTCACAACCTGGGAATGTTGGTGGAGGATCACCATGAATGAGAATCAACACGGTGGAAAATTATTAGATATACTTGTTCCAATTCAGCTACAGATTCCACTTGATGACCTAATGCAGTTAGAAAAATATCTGGTTTAGACCTCCGTACTACCTGTATTCTATAATAATGATAGTTAAGTGCTGAATCTAAGAGTAGTTGTTGTTATGTGCCATTGAGTTGTTTTTGACTCATGGCAGCCCTATGTACATTAGCTCTGAAACCTGCTATTTCCTTAGCCAATCTCGTCGTCTCTGACAGACCTAATTCCATTTCTTCAGTCACTGAGTCAATCAATCCATCTACTGCACTGTTCCTCTACCCTTCCAAGCATGATGTCCCTCTTCAAGGAATGGTGCCTCCTGGCCACTTGCCCAAAGTATATGAGACAGAGCTTAAAATCTTTGCCTCCAGGACACAGCCTGTTTTGACCTTCTCGAGGAAAGACCTGTTCTCTTGGCAGTCCTTGGAATAGTCAACAGTCTTCTGCAGCACCACAACCCAAAGGCATTGATCCTTCTTCTATCATCCTTAGTCCTTGCCCAGATCTCTGATACATAGCAAGTAACTGTGAAGACCATGGCCTGGATCAGGTTCACTTTAGTCTCTATAGTAACATCATTGATTTTCCGTACTCTAGAGAGGTCCCTGAAAGGATACTTTCCCAATGCAGTTTGTCTTTTTATTTCCTCACTGCTGGTGCCAAGAGTGTTGACTGTGGAACCAAGCAAGCTGAAGTTATCAACAATCTTCATTTCTTCTCTGTCCAACATGATGCCAATTGGCCTAGTGGTGATCTTGGTCTGCTTGATGCTGAGCTTCAATCCACAGTCCTAGACCTTCTACAGCAAACACCTTATGTCCTCTACAATTTCAGCAAGCAGGATTGTGTCATATAAGGGATTTCCCAATATTTTCAAGTGTCTTATGCAAGAGATTACTTTTGGGGGAGCCCAGTGGGATACAGGCAGGTATATGGATCTAAAACAATACAAAATTATATATTGGAGAGGAATTAAAAAGTTGTTCTTAACTTGAAGGAACTGGAGCTATTTCTTCCCTCACTGACTCAGACTATCTTACTAAGAATGAAGGACTTCGTCAAAATTAAGTAACAGGAAGGAAAAAAAAGGAATAGTTTCAACCCTTACTCATACTACTATTTATTTCCACTCAGTCTTTCTAGTGGTTATTCACGAGATGTCTTAGCTTCAGTACAGAACTCCAAAAGGAGCTCTGGAGATGTAATCCATAGCCTGTTTCGTTGCCAACTGAAAGGTCTCCTGTGGTCCCACAGTGTCCCAAGGGAGTAAAAGGAGTTCTCTCCTCTTGCTAAGATTCACAGCTTCAGAAACTCAATGGAGAGAAAGTCTCTATGAGCCACATTAAACTTAATGGCAATGGTTAAGAGAGTACCTACCTAGATGGCTTAAATCATTAAACACTGTGCTACAAACTGAAAGATTGGCAGTGTGAACTCACCTCGAGGCTCTGCTAAAGAAAGATTTCATGGTGAGCTTCAGTCATGAAAACTCTATGGAATGTAATCCTACTCTTAAAACATGTGGAGTTACCATTGGTGGTGTGGTATGTTTCAGCTGTGACCCACAGCAACACTATAAACAATGGATCTGTGCTCGCTTCGGCAGCACATATACTAAAATTGGAACAATACAGAGAAGATTAGCATGACGCCTGCCCAAGGGTGACATACAAATTTGTGAAGTGTTCCACATTTTTTAAAAAACAAAAAAAACCCCACAACACCAAAACCAATGGATCTGGACCCTGCCCTACCTTGTGCATCTTCCCCAGCTCTGACACACTTGAAGCCATTATTGCAGTCACTGTGTCAATCCATTTTACTGAGGGTCTTCCTCTCTTTTGCTGGCCCTTACCTCTCTGCCTCCTGACAACATGCCCAAAGTATGGGAGACAAAGTTTAACCACCCCTGCCTAAAAGGAGAACCAAGGCTTTAATTTCCCCAAGATAACAGGTGGTAGTGGTGTGAAAATACTATTGTTGTTGTTGTTGTTGTTATGTGTCGTCGAGTCGCTTGCGACTCACAGCGACCCTATGTACAACAGCCCTAAACTCTGCTCTGTCCTGTACCAATCGCACTGTCATTGACACTCCCATCCCGATTATCCCAGTCACTGAATCAATCCACCTCATAGAGGGCCGTCCCCTCCTGCGCTGTCCCTCCACCCTCCCAAGCATGATGTCTCTCTCCAAGGACCTGTCCCTCCTTGCAACATGTCCAAAGTATGTTAGACGGAGCCTCAGAATCCTTGCCTCCAAGGAGCTGCCCGGTTTAACCCTTTCCAGGATGAATCTGTTTGTTTTCCTAGCAGTCCATGGAATACTCTTCTCCAGCACCACAGCTCAAAGGCATCAATTCTCCTTCTATCCTTCTTAGTTATTGTCCAACTCTCTGATGCATAACAAGTGATTGCAAAGACCATAACCTGTATCAGACACACCTTAGTCTCCAAGGAGACACCATTGCTCTTCAGTACTTTGGAGAGGTCCCTAACAGCAGACTTTCCCATGGTAATACATCTAATTTTCTGGCTGCTGGTGCCTAGAGTATTGACTGTGGAGCCAAGGAAACTAAAGCTGTGAACAATCTCAATCTCTTCACCATCCATACTGATGCTGCCAATTGGCCCAGTGGTGAGAATCTTTGTCTTCTTGACACTGAGCCTCAATCCATATTGGAGGCTGAAGTCCTTGTGAAATATAAAATTTGAAAGAATTATCCTCCAATATAGGAGTTAATCAAAAGAACACTACCATCATGTCAATTCCAACTCATAGGGATCTTCCATTGGATTTCTGAGGCTGTAAAAATCTTAATGAGAGGGGACTTCTTAATCTCCCAAAGAGCAACTGGTGAATTTGAACTACCAACCTTTTAATTAAAAGTCCAACACTCTATACACTCTGCTACTTGTTGTTATGTATCTTCCAGTTGGAACTGATTTATAGCTCACCCTCCAGAAGGTTTTCAGAGACAGTAAGCCGCAGGAGAGGAGATTTCCCATCCTTCTACAGAGCTTCTGGTGGATTCAAACCATGTGCCTTTGGGATTGTAGCTTCTTACCCATAGACCACCAGAGCGCCATGCCACTAAAGCTCCTTAAAATAAGAATAGATTTCTTATAATCATACAATTATAATGTCCTTAAATTTCATTAGAGTACTTGAGAACCTTCCTTTTTTGTTTAGTTTTGGTTTTTGTTATGTACTGTCAAATCCAATCCAACTTGCAAAGGAGGAGATTGCCCCTCCTTCTCCAGCAGAGCATCTCATGGATTTGAACCATGAACCTTTGGGATTGTAGTGCAGCTTTTTGCCACTAGACCACCAGAACTCCTTGAG